AGATAACTGCAGGCATGCACCGCATTTCACAGGCCACACCCCCCAAAGGACAAGGGCGTACTTAGAAATGAACAGGGATGCACTCCTGTGAGACAGAGAGGGAGGGAGGGAGAGGGAGATTAGCTGACCCTCTTGGATCTCCTTAGGAGGTTCCTAGTGGCCTGAGGAGTGCTGCTTCTACTCCCTCCACCCCAATATCTTCTCTCCAAATCTCTGGACAAACTAGATTTTTTTTTTTCTTTTTTAGACAGAGTCTTGCTCTGTCACCCAGTCCCAGCAGTCCCAGCTCCCAGCACCCAGCGAGAAATATGACAGTGAATGTCCTGGTTTACCCGCAGCCCAGCAGGCGTGGAGGGGGTAGGGCTGAGGGATTCGCTCGATCTCCTCCATTGGATGGGTCTCTTATTCTACCCAGGCTAGAGAGCAGTGGTGCAATCATAGCTCACTGCAGCCTCCAGCTCCTGGACTCTGCCTTGAACTCTCCCGCTCAGACTCCTCCCATCTAAGCCTCCCAAGTAGCTGGGACTATAAGCACATGACACTATGCTCAGCTAATTTGTAATTTTTTTTGTAGAGATGGGTGTCTTGCTGTGTTGCCCAGCCTAGTCTTAAACTCCTGGCTTCCAGTGATCCTCCCACTTTGGCCTCCTTTGCATCCAGCAATTCCTGGGGAATCCCACTGCCCCTCCCCCCACATCTACAGCCCAGGGAGAGTATAAGTCTTTTCCTCATCCCTTGGGGCACTGAAATCAGAAGGTGAGTCAGGGGTAGGGGCCTGGGTGGGTGGGGTGACTCAGCTATCTAGAGGGGGAACGTGGTCTGGTGAGAGGAGAGATTACTTCTCGACCTCAGAGGGTGTACCCTAATCCCCTATGGTTCTCTGATGTCCAAACCTAGGCCAGGCAGTCCCCTGGGTGGGGTGGGGATGTGGGCTGATGAGCACCGCCCCCTCCTGCTCCTGCAGACTCTGGGCTGCCAGATGAGGTTGAGGTGGTAGCAGGGGCCTCACTGGCACAGGGTCACTACCCAGGCCTGGGTAAGACATGCTTCTAGCTTCACCCCCAATCAACTGCGTCCCAATTCCTGCCTCCAGGGTCTCTCTGGGGACTTGTTGGCTGGTGAGCTGGGGCAGCCAAACAGTGCTGGAAATCTTGCAGAAGGACCCCCTTCATGACTTGGCATCCTGACATACAGGAAATCAGGGCTGCCTCAAAGTCTTCCTGGGCAAGGGCTAGTGAGGGCTTGGTGGCACCAGCTCTGAGCACACAAACAGACCAGCCTGGCTTCCTGCACACTGTCCTCGTCTCACCCAGAAGGTCCAGGAACCTCTCCAGGGTAGCAAGGGTCTTAATTTTGCCCTTACTACAATGACAATCATAACTCGGCCAGTAATGGCCAGAGGTGACTTCCAATGAAGGGAGCTGGCTATCCTCAGAGCAACCCAAGAGGTCACAGGTAAGCTGTGGGAGTCAAAGGAGCTTTCAGTCCCAGCCTTTGAATAGAAGCAGGGACAGCCACGCCTGCCATCATCACCTCCAGCATCTGGAGGTCAGGGCTGCAGAGGGTACAGGAAGCAAAGTCAGAAAGGAGAAGGCAACATGGAGAACAGAGCCCAGGGACCGGCGCTTGGAGGGCAGTAGCCCAGGGGCGTGGGTGTGAGTGCCTGGGAATGCCCATGTGAGTTTCCTTCAGAGGTGGGCAGCAGGTCTCAAGCATCAGTCACACCCAAGAGGGAGCCCTGATCTGATGCAAGGCCTGGCCTTGTCAGGCTCCAGGGCCCTCTCAGCTGCCCCCAAGCCTGGCCCAGCGCGCCCCCCAGTCTCACTTCACCCGACTGGAGTGCTTTCTCCAGAACCCTTACTCGAAGCTCCAACTCAGCCAGCCCCACCCTAGCATGAAACCTGAGACTAGGGGTAGGGGGGGAGAGTCCTCAGCCTCCTGCTGCTCTGAAAATCACTCCCATTTGCAGCAAGAAGGGAAAGACATCAGAATGGCTTCCCACCATTCTTTAAGGCCTGGCCCCAGCCCCAAATCCTCCATGAAGACCCTAAAAACCTTCCCAGCCTGCTGTGATCACTTTTCTCTGCCACCACCAGGCTGAAGAGGGACAGGAGACTCCCTGAGCCTTTAGCGTCCTACCCTCCAATGTGGCACTCAGTGTGGCTTGGTTTGTGCTGTTGATTATGTCTATAGGTGTCTTGGGTCCCTACTGGAGCGTAAGCTCCTTGAGGGCAGGGTCCTAGCTTGTACATCTCAGTACCTACCACAACATCCATCCCAGGCCGTAACACATAGCATGTTTTGATGGACTGATGAATAAGAGGCACAAAGAGACACCAGCAATCCCACACCCCTCAAAAAAATGAAGTGAGAGTCTGATGCACAGAAGACAAGGAGTAGGGAGCCCACATTTATTTAGTGCTGACTACGTGTTAGGCACTAATAAGTGTTTTATGTGTGTTCTCACATTTAACGCTTTCCATGAACTCTATGGAAAGATGTATGATCAGTTCCATTTTACAGGTGTGAGAACTGCAGTTTAGACATGATAATTACCATTCCCAGGTGGCACAGCTATCATGAGTGGCGGGGTCAGGACTGGAAGCTAGATGTGCCTGCCTTCAAAGCCCATGCACAGTCCCCTCTGCCCTGTGCCCACTCCCAGCACCCAGCGAGAAAGATGACAGCGAATGTCCTGGTTTATGCTCAGCCCAGCAGGTGTGGAGGGGGAAGGGCTGAGGCATTTACCCTGATCTCCATTGGATGGGTCTCTTATTCATGCCTGTGGTCCATCTCCCCAGGACAGTCCCTGAACAGGGTCCCCAGAGCTACGATTAGAGCAGCCTGCCCCTCCACCCCCTGTGCCCCACACAGGCAGTTCGGTTCTAGGATCCGTGCCACTTCCCCTGGCTCTGGCTATTTGGAGATGAGCTGAAGTCAGGCAGGAAGTCGAGGAAAAGTTCTGCTTTCTTGTCCCTGTGTGTCCCCAAACAGCCTGCTCAGGGTCACGCAATCGGGCAAATGGCCCGAGTGCCTGGCCATCTGGTCACTCCAGGGGCAGGACCCTCCTGGGCCCAGCAGGAGTGAAGGGGTTACACAGAGACAAAGAACACACACACACACATGCAGGCAAACACACACTCCGGGGCCCTGACCTTGGCTAATTAGCCTCTGATGTCTCAGGGGTGACAGAGCGGATCTACAATATCTGGGTTCTCTTTGTATTTTCCCTCTTTCCACCCCAACTTGGCCTTGGCAGGGGTCTCTGGGCACATAGGGGCAAGCAAGTCTCCCTTCTGGGCTGGCTTCTCTGACTTTGACAGCTGTCTCCTAAGTCCCAGAAAGCTGCAGCTACTGGTTAAACCACGGGATACCCAGAGAGCACGATCTCAGAGAATCCCTGGCAAAATTTCTTCTTTCATTTGGGCTGGGTGGTGGCCCCAGAACCTGCTCCTTGGAGACTCAGGCCTCCCAGTTCCAGGCGGGACAGATGTGCAGCCCCAGGGCAGCCCAGACAGGCTGGAAAACACCCAGCTCCTGGAGCAGGAGAGATGGGGGAGAAGGGGAAAGAAAACTCATGCACACACACACACACACACACACACACACACATACACACACAGGAGTTTGGCCGGAAAAGTTTCCTACAGAAGGAAAAGCAGCCTTGCCCGCAGGTTTTCCCGGGACCCAAGGAGAGACTTCCCCAGGAATCCTCCGGGAAGATGAGAGGCAGTGGCAGCAGCTTCCACCAGCAGCAAAACTTCAGTCCGAAAAGTCCCCCGAACCCCCCTTCCTCTCCCCCTCGTTCTTTTGTTCCCCACTGCATTGCCAACCAGGCAGCTCCCGGCTTCCCACACTGGACTGTCCTCCCCCAACCCCGAACCCGAATCCGCCCGCGCCTCCCCGCCTGGCCCGCAGCCGGGGGACCGGGGGGCGCTCACCCGCCTTGCAGGGGTCTTTGTAGTTGAGGGGCTCCAGGTCGTCCTCCTCCGCCAGGTCATAGGTGTAGTCGGCCAAGTCCAGCGGCCGGCCGGGACGCGGGAGCAGCAGCAGCCCGAGCAGCAGCGGCAGGCGGGCCACGCCGGGCATGCTGGCGGGGCGGCGGCGAGGGAAGCGGGCACTGGAGGCCAGGGGAGGGCGTCCCTCGCCCGCTCGCTCGCTCGCTTGATCGCGACCGCGACCTCTCCCGCCCGCGCTCCCCGACCTCTTCCCCTTCCCTCTGCTCTCTTCCCTCCTTCCTGTCTCCCACCCCCCGCTCGGCCCGCAGCTCCGCGCTGGTCCTCTGGCTCCGGCCGTCTCCCTCTCCCTTCCCTTCTTTTTCTCTCTTTCTTTCTCTCCCTCCCTCCCGCTCCCCCCCCCTTTTAGGGAAATGAGCTCGCTGGAGGGCGGGTTTTCGCCCGAGCTCGGCCCCCCTCGGGGCCGGGACTGTGCTCTGCCGGGCCGGGCCGCGCGCCAGCCGTGGCTGGGAAGGCGGGGAGCCGTGCGCTCGGGGAGGGGGCTCGGGCCGCCCGGGGCGCGGGCCGCGGGGCCGGGGCGGGAGCTCGGTCCCCCAGGGTGCCGCGCCGGCTGCCGCTCCCGAGGTGCCCTCTAGCGGCGGCGTCCCCCGCGGGCGACCGGCCGAGCCCCCGCCCCGCCGCGGGACACGCTGTCAGTTTGTCGCGCCGCCCCTGCCCCTCGCCCCCGCCTCGGGTCGGCCTCTCAGCCCGCGTCTCCCTCGCTCCCCTTCTCGGACCCTCGCTCTCTCGCGTCTCGCTCTTTGCGCTCTGTCTCTCGCTGTCTCGGCGTCTCTCCCTCCTCCGGAGACGCCGCTGGAGGGCGCCGAAAGCCCGTGGATGGCTCCCCGGCAAGCCCCTCTACCCCGCCGGGGTGGACCCAGTCCCCCAGCGCCCTGAGACAGAGGAAGAATGGCAAACCCCTCTCTGCTCCCTCAAGCCCCTTCCCTTTCTGGCCGGCCGCCGCCAGGGCAGCACTGCGTCCTGCGGGAAGATGGAAGCAGACCCTTTGCTTTTCAATCAGGCTGCTTTATTCTGTTGTGGCAGGAGTTCCCCGGCCCCTGGGCGCCACCTCCGCCCACTCCCATCCTCTCCCCAAACTCCCATTTCTCCAGGGCCTGTCCTTGTGGTGTGGGCAGAAGCAACTTCTTGCCCGTCTGCAAAAGTTGCAAAAGACCCTTTTCTCGGGGCGTTTCCCGACCCCTTGGGGCTTCCACTGACCCTGTGAAGCAAAGGAAGGTTGAGGTTGGACAGAGAGGGTCCCGGGAGTGGGAAATACTAGCATGAGCCACCCCTCCCCTGAGCTCCCTGGATGACCTGGCTTCAATGGACGCCCCAGCGCCTGGTCAGCCTGAGCGCTCCTTCACTGCTCAGGGCAGGTGGCCCGAGGGCTCCTCCACTGCTGATCAGGGTCCCTGGGATCACACCTGCTCACCTGAGGAGTTCTAGATGTAGTAGAGCGGCACCTCGCCACACAGGGTGCTCACGGCCATGCCTAGGAAGCCCGAGTCCCCTCTGGAGGGTGCTGAGCCTGCATCACGCCCCTCCGCCTGGCCCAGCTTAGAGGTCGGCATTTCGGGCTTGGCCTGCAGAGAGCATTCCATTTGGAATCTGGGAAGTGAGTTTCTACTCCATGTGCAGCCCTTATTGTGGGCCTTCAGGCATGTCAGGCAATCTCTCTGAGCCTCTGTTTCCTCACCAGGAAGGGGGGACTGAGCTGGAGTCAGAAGCCCTCAGGTGGTGAATGGGCTCAGCTGAGCTCAGCAGCTTGGCAGCAGGGTGGGTAGGAAAGGAGTCGTGCAGGGGAGTATGGAGAGGCGTAGTCAGGCCGGAGCCCACGAGGAACAGTGCTTTACGGATGACAAATAATAGCCACCATTCAGACACTCCTCCCAGCAGGCCTGGCAGGGAGACAGCCCACTCCTTTCACTCACACACATACCTGGAAGTTCTGGACTTTTCTAGTGAGAGCCTCCAGACTGGGGATGCTCTCCGGAGCAATCTTCATGATGTAGCAGCAGGTGCCAGGGGCTGGCTTGTAGGTGATCAGGAGCTGGGCACAGAATGCTGGCGATCATTCAGGGGTTCCTGCCCTGCTCGCTCCCTGATCCAGATCCTTAGCCAGCTCTGTTTAGGTTGGGCACAGGAGTCATACTAGAATCTGGGGTTGAGGCAAAAAGGGCTGGAGGAGGGGACAGATGGATGTGGATGAAGTGGCCCAGCTGGGTGGCTCTAGCAGAGTCTTGTCATTAATCCCAGGGTCAGGAGGTCCGGGCATACCCACCCGCTGGTAGTCATACACCACGAGGCCAGTGGAGCCGATGGAGAAGGTGGCAGTGGTACCCAAGTGCTCACTCAGGGCCAGGTGTTGCTGGGCTTCCGGCGCCCCAATGCTCATCTCCAGGACCTGGGGAAAGCGCATGGAGCTGCCTGGTCTTCCCCTTTCTCACGCAGTCTGTGGTACCAATCCACATACTGAGACCTCTGTACTCAAGATGTGCTTCCCTCTTTCCCGAGAGCTCAGGGAGGTTGAGTGGAACCAGGTGCTGGACGGAGCCGGCTGTCCTGCTGCAGGACAGGGGCCTTGTGGAAAAGCCTGGGCTGGGTTGCCGCCTGGTTCCTGCCTCTTTCCTACTAGCTGTGCCCCTTGCCTCCCCTCCACTCCCCTTGGACAGTTTCCTAACGCCCCTCCCACCCAGCCCCTCTGTCCAGCGTGTTCTGTTCCCGCTACTGCCCCATCCCACACCTCTCACCATCTCCGTGTGTTTCTGGCTCATGTGGAGACCCATGAGCAGGGCTCCCACAATCACCACGACGACGAGGACCACCACCACCACCACGATAAGAAGGCGTTTCAGGTGCACCGGGCAGCAGGGGATGCCAAATCGGCCCCGGGGGGCTGCAGAGTAGTCCTGACAGGGTGGGGCAGGCAGGGAGACCGGCATGAGATCATGAGGGTATCCCCTCCTCTCCCTGCACAAGCTGAACACCCTCCCACGGCTGCCTAGGGCTGGACAGCCGATGTGATGGATGGGCAGGGAAAGGCTGAGATCAGAGGACGCTTCTTGGAGACGGCCTGGATTCTAACAAACCCATAGACACATAGAAGCTGAGAAGCAGGGTCTAGTTTTGAGGAACCCCAGAGAGCCTGCTTCACCTGTCTCTTCCTATGCTTCTCCCAGCCCCCTGGCATCCTAGCCATGGCCAGCCCCTCTCTGTTCCCCAAGTGATCACGCCCATTAAGTAGGAGTGACATTTTCTCTGTGAAGTGTCCCCTGACCTCTGATGTATTTCATGGCTTCTTACTTGGGGCTGTCTACAAACAGCCCTTTCCATCAACCCCTATAGTGGCTCTCTGCCCATGAACTGCTCCCCAAAGGTCTCTGGCTTAGTGGTCTTGGTGTCCCCATGCTGACTTATCACAGCCCTAGGTTAGTTGAGTGAATGGATCTGGATAAGGAAACAGGCCCGGGAAGTTAGAGGAGGCAGGGCCCGTCACACACACACACAGACACACACACACACACACACACACACTCTCTCTCTCTTTCTCTCTCTCTCTCTCTCTCTCTCTCTCTCTTTCTCCCCTCTCTCTCACCGGCGGGCTCTCCATCAGGACCTCTTTGCTGCCCACATCCATCTTGTCGCAGGCGCTATGCTCTCCTCTCCTCCTCTCCCAGGTGTGACCAGGGGCTTATATGCGACCGTAGGGAGAAAGGACAGAGGTGAAGGACCAGGCCCCCTGTGTGCCAGCCAAGACCTTGGCTTTGAAGCCTGTTTGTTCCTGGCCCTCCAGAACCGAAGCCCAGATAAGCCAGCTGTAAGAGCCCACAAGGACCCTTGGCCCTGGCACATGAGTCCTCTTAGCCCCAGCAAGAGCAAACCTGGGTGAGCTGAGCAAACTTGCCCTTGGGGCATCTGCACCTCTCACCGTGGTTATCTCGTTGGCGTGCCTGCCTTCCTTGCTGGCACCTGCTCCTGCTGCCCTGTGGCTTTCCTTGTTCTTCTGCCAGCCTGAACCTCTCGGGTGGCCAAAGTTTGACCATCACATTTCCCAACAGAATTTTTCTGTGCCTAGGGATGCGCTCCAGGAAGCAGGTTCTGGAGACAGCGCCTGTAGACTCCGAGGGGACTCTACTGAAGGCAGGAGGTGCTTTGACATCAGTTTTGGGTATTTCATAAACGTGCATTTCCCTGCAAGGGCTGAATTCCCACTTCAAGCACTCTTTTTCTCACCTTGCCTCTTCCCACACATCTGGTACCAACTCAAACTTGCCCCCGGTCATTATTTTCCTAATTCTGGAAACTCTGTCCCCACTGGTGGCAAGCTCTTACTCATGTGCAGTGCTTCCTTCTTTGCTGTGGGCTTGTCTGTCAATTGCAGACTGTGCTGATGGCAGATTCCAGGTCTGACACTGTTTTCTCCCACCTGGACAGCCCTACACAGCTGGCTCTGGTCACCGGCGGGTTCCCAGTCTCCTTATCTTCAAACCAGCCCACTCACCCTGTGGTCTACACCCCACCCCTCTAGACTCCCTTTCTACGTCCTCTGATCCTAAATTTGCCGTGAGAATGCTGCTCACCCAAATACGATCAACTTTCGGGACAATCTCCTTCTCCATTCTATTTCCTACTGCTTTCCCCAAAGCCATCTCTGCATATTTACAAGGTCGCATCTGCCCATGACTTTGGGCTGACTCACCCTTCCTCTCAGCTCCCTTTCACTGTTTGGGCCAGGTGGTCTCTGAAGTCCCTTCACCTCCAAACTCAGGTGACTGAGGCAGAGTCCACGCCTCCCTCTCTAGGCCTTGCTCTCTTAACCTCCTATCTTTTTTTTTTTTTTTTTTTTGAGACAGGGTCTCACTTTATTACCCAGGTGGGTATGCAGTAGCAAGATCACTGCTCACTGCAGCCTTGACATCCTGGACTCTGGTGATCCTGCCACCTCAGCCTCCCAAGTAGCTGGGAGTGCAAGTACGTGCCATCACGCCCAGCTAATTTTCATATGTTTTGTAGAGCTGGGTTTTTGCCATGTTGCCCAGGCTGGTCTTGAACTCCTGGGCTCAAGTGATCTCAGCCTCCTAAAGTACTAGGATTATAGGCATGAGCTACTACACCTAACCAGCTCCTATCCTTTACCTTTAACATGCCACCTCAGTTCCTGTCCCCTGCCCTGGCCACTTCCCACCTGAGCCCTGCCCTTGGGTCATGAGCTGACAAGTTCCCCTGTTCCCTCTCCACCTGGAGGGTCTTCAGTCCCCAGGTTGCCTAATAGCATGGCATCTGAGCTGAGAGCCCCTGAGAAGCGAGAAAGGAAGGGAGAAAGGGAAAGAAGTGTTTGCTCCCACCACCCTCCTCACCCCCTAGCTGCCCCTTTAAATATTTGCCTAAGACTCCAGCAGCCAGAGAGTGTCCTGGGACAGTGAAAGGAGGGGAAGGGTGCCAGGAGGCGGGGGAGCCTGGAGAAGTGTCCTCTCAGCTCGGCCTCAGCTGTGTGCAGGTGCCAGATGTAGGAGATAGCTCTCCCGCAGTGCCCACCCCTGCCCTCCCCCAGGGCCCCCACTCCCACCCCCATTATCCTGGCAACATTGAGATTGATCGGCTGACTCACGAGTACTGGGCCTGAGCCAGGTGGGCAGCTGGCCAGTGGGAGAGCCAAGCACTGCAGGCATCTCGGGGTCCCTGTGGGCATCTCGGGGGGGCCGTGTTATCCTCATGTGGAACTTGTTCTTAGCAGGCACTGTGGGTGGGGCTTGTCGTCATCGCTGGGTGCTGGAAGAGGGGTCTCTTTCTTTGAAAGAAGCCTCTGCTCTTCAGGCCTTCAGTCTCCCCTGCTTGTTACCCTTAGGCTGTAGCTGTCACAGGCTTTGTGGCTGCTGCTGCTGCTGCTTCTCCTCCTTCTTTCTTAAACCCGCGTTTTTGCTTGCTTGAGGGCTGGGGAAGGGTGCCTGCTTCCTGGAGGGCTCACACCAACCAGGTGGAGGTCTTGGGTTCCTTGGAGAAGGAAACACAAGAGTCTGTTCTTGTCATTAGCTGGGTGTGCCAACCTTCCCCCTCCTCCATACCAGTCCTCTCTGCAGCCTTCTCACTTTTTGGCCTTTACTTAAGCCATTTCTCCCTCTGTGAAAGTCCACCTCCAACCCCTCTCCACTTCTCTGGTTTAATTTTAATTTTATTTATTTATTTATTTATTTATTTTAGAGACAGGATCTCTCTCTGTTACCCAGGCTGGAGTGCAGTGACACAATCACAGTTTTATAGCTCACTGCAGCCTTGATCTCCTGGCCTCAACTGATCCTCCTACTTTAACCTCCCAAAGTTCTGAGATTACAGGCGTGAACCCTGCATTCTGGCCTTCCATCTCTCTGAATGCCACCCACCCAAACAGGCCAAGAGCCAATGGCACCTGCTCTGTGACCTCACTCTAGTTCATGGTACCCTCTGAAATCCTCAGCCTCTCTGTGGCACCTTCCACCCGCCATTTGGCACGCATAAATGTTCTCATCGGTGACATGGGTGCTTTTTGTTGCTCTGTCTTCCAGCCCAACTGTGGGCCCTGGAAAAAAAAGGAGCATGCTTCCCGCAGGCTTCTTTGAACATGCCACTGGGCAGGAAGCTCACAAACAGCCAACACTTAATGATAGTCAACAATGAGATCAACCCCAACAGCGGTCAGTAGTCCTTGCTTTCAGTATGTGAAGGTCTCAGTGCTTCTACTGGCCAGCTCTGGGACTCAGCGGGAGTCAATCTGCTTTGCTAGGCATTAGTATGTTCATCTGTGAAATGGGTCAGGTCCTAGCTGTCCACCTCACCACACTGTTGTGAGGACTTAATGACATCCTGGGTGTGAAATTCAATTGTCATCATTAGCATCATCACTTCATCCTCTCGGGCACCTCTCACTAGCCAAGAATACAGTGTTGACTCGCCCTCTCTATTTCTGGGTTGACCCCCTCCTAGAGCCATGGGTGATGGACAGCGCACAGTGGCCACCCCTTCTGCATGGGCCTCCCCATTTCATCCTTCAGCCCCTCAGCTGCAGGGGTTGGGACAAGATTCACTTTGCTCTTTGTGTACTGGGCAGAGCCGTGCCAGGGACGGGTGGGGACAGTTGCCCAGCTGCCCCAGCCACCTCCCTACCCCCACTGCTTCCCTCTCCCCAAGCTGGCATGGGGAGGGCAGCAGGGCAGCTGGATGTGTGGCAGCAAGTGGACATCAAAGGGCAGGGGCATCCCTGGCTGCGAGAACACAACTTAAGCTCAGACCAGAGACTCCCCTGCTGGCAGAGGCCGGAGACAGCTGGGGAAGCATCTTAAAGCCAGTAATCTCCATTCCCTGGACTGATGTGGAAAGGGCACCAGACTAGGAGCCCAGGCAGCTGACAGCCAGCCTCCCGTTGCCCTGAGTCCACGAGCTCTTCAGACAGTCATCCCTCTTCAGCGGGGACCTAACGTGGTATAGAGCAGCGGTCTTCAATCTTTTTGGTTTCAGGACCCCTTAATACTCTCAAAAAGTATTGAGGACCGTAAAGAGCTTTTGTTTATGTGGGAAACATCTATTGATAGTTGCTGAGAAATTAAAGTTTTATTTACATATTAATTTAAAATATCAGTAATAAACCCATTATATGTTATGACTAAATTATATTTTTAATGGATATAACTATTTTACAAAGCAAAAAAAAATTAGAGAGGAGTGTCATTGCTTTACAGTTTTGGAAATCTTTTCAATGTGGGGCTTAATAGAATTGAAAAGGGTAAATCATGTCTTAACAACATTAGGAAAATTGTTCTGACCTCAGACACTCCCCGAAAGGTTCTCAAGGACCCCTGGTCTAGGAAGAGTCCCACAGAGAAGGACGACTGTAAATGGTCAACTTGGGCAGAGTGGGTGGAAATCCCTGCTGATACCTTTTCTTCCCGTATGACAGGCCTCACTTTTCTTGTCTGTAAAAGGGAATTACTATCGCCTGCCTCAAACGATTGAGAGGATGAAGTAGAGAAAGTACAGAGCACATGTTAGATGCATAGCAAGCTTAGCCAGCCTCTTTTGGGGGACCTCATTTCCTCATTTGTTAGACAAAGGGCTGGACTGGAAAACATCCAACACCCTTCCGAGCTCCAACAGGCTGTGGCTGAGCAGTAAGAAATGTTCCAGAATTCCACATAGTCCCACTCCAGCTCCAGAGGCTGCATTTCCCTTCTCAGCTCATGCTGACACAAAGGTACATGCTGTTCAGCGGCGCGTGGAAAAACATGTGAATCCAGTTAGAAGCGCACTTCAGACTCCTCCAGGACGCCCTTGTGCTTCTAATCTTGCCTGCTAACTTAGATATGCGTCTGTCACTCAACGACATGCCCGTGGCTCTGCCTAGGGGATGTGGCCCCCCCACCCCCCGCTTGCAAAGAAATCCAGGTACCCAGAAGCACAGGGGGATCCCTCACCCCGAAGCGCCTCCAGAAGGCGGTGTGTGCATGTGCCCATGCACAGACAGGTGAGCACCGGCGCTCGCGGTCGTGCCCAGCACACGGAGGCACAAGTACACGCTCACACGGTTGCACTTACGCGCAGCCACGCACGCGGATGGCCCCAGAGACCGCCCGGTAGAGCACACAGCGGCCACTCCTCCCTTTGGCGACTCCCAGGCTCGGGCCTCCCCCCGCCGCCCCGCGCGCGCCCCCGCCGCC